TCCCCCTCATGTCAGATTTCTTTCCAATTCTCTTTCAGTGTTTGCCTTCTAACTCACTGATTGAAATCTATTTAATCACAAACATTTCCTTTCAACAGCTTCTATTTTCTGTTCCTCAAGCACTTTCTCTACCAAACCATTGTGTGTGTGTCCCTTTATTTTCTCCCACATGAAATCCCATGTTGACTTTACAGCACTGGTGGTGTTCACCTGAATTATCAAGTATATCAAATGCATAGAACAGTCTTGCAAAGCAATACTGAAATTAATACAACTTGACTCAGCTAGGAACCTCTGACTCTTGTTCTTACACTACTGATACCAGCGCATTTAACAATCTTTTTATATTATTGAATGTCAGAACCTTTATGAATTAATAAATGTTATGACCAAAAGAATGGAAAAATAAAGGAAACAAAAATCCTTCAACACAAGTAGTATTCTGTGCATTTGGAAGTGCACATTATCTTTGTTTAACTTAAAAGTACTGCATATTAATTAATATACTTAGGTAAGTGTTGAACTTCTTGAAAGAACATTTTAATGATGTAAGAGCTGACTACATAGTTTTCAAATTATTATTGGAAAACTGGAAAGATGACAGTAATCAGTCCATAAGCATATCTCAGGACTAGAAAGAAAAAGTGATTCAATAGAAAGAAAGAAGGAAGAATTAAGAAAAAGTAATTTTTTTTTGTCAAAAAAAAAATCTAGCAGTTTTGCCAAATAGCAAGTTTGGCTTTGCTTTATGGCTCAGCCATGTAACTACCGAAAAATGTTAACCAATTTAACAGAAGGAGAAGAAAAATGGTCAAAAAACTCTAATTGCACAGATAGTGACACAAATTCTTTCTCCTGGAATTAAGATTCCATCCAGTGCCTAACTAAGTAATAGCATGTTTTTCCTCACACTTTAAAATGTAGATATGCTTAAAAGTTTCAAATACATGGTTATGAACAAGTTATTCTAAGTGACAACTAATAATCACAGTTAGAGAAATCCAAAAGCATTCTTGCCAAACATTACACCATGACATACATACATACTGTGCGTTAAAACATATTCTTCATGCACTGTATAGCACACCTTCTGATTAGCCTTATGAAATACACATGATGGAAAGCTAAAGAAATACTTAGTGTAGCATACAGCATCTGCTGTATGTAAAAGAATTTTTACAAAAAAATTTACAGCAATCATGAAGCAGTTAGTCTTTACTAAATGTTTAACTATATTGAAGACACTATGCATTTGCAGTGCACATTATGAAATTTCCACTGTCCAAAGTGGAAAAGTTTCACTTAAACTTGACCACATACTTACTGGTCATCTGACAAATTAAGCATGCTTATACCGAATTATCTGTAACATCATTACACTTTTCTGCATTCTTCACATCTTCTCTGTTCTCAAACCAGTACCATAGCAGGGAGAAAAAGGTACGGCAAAATAATTCCTTTGATAGCAAAGACAAAAAATTTCTATTGAGTTACTGAATGTAACATTTCTACTGTTTTATTCAACTTTGTGCACTTCCACATTGTCAAGAAAATCTTCACACAAAGTTCAAAAGAAATAAACTATTTTCAAAGGCATATACATAAGGCAAAGGGCCGCAGTTGCAAGTTGTTTAGTAGAAAGCAACATTTTTTTTAATTCAAGAAATAAGATATATAATTTCTCATGTATTTTATATATATATATATGAGAAAAGGTTACAGTACAGAAAATATCCCAGTAAATGGAAAGAAATAAAGTTAATGAAAATACAGTAAAATGAAATTGTGAAGTGTTATTGCAAACTAGGGAAAATAACACGAAGGAATGGCTGCACTTCTGCATGTCTTACACTTGTTTTCTTATCCTATCCCCCCTTCATTTATGGCACTTACTCTGAAGACGCTTTCCTTATATTGCAACGGGAGACTAGAGGGATTACTAAATAGTGGTACAGAAAGTAGTTTAAAAAGTATTCAGGAAACCTAGGGACTCTTACATGAACAAATACATCAAAGAAAGCATTTATTTTCACCTTTCATGTTCCATTTAGTCTATGGGGTTTTTTTTATATAAACATATTACATATTCCCACCACAGAAAGTATTTCCCTCCACCATTTCTTTTGTTATGTATGTCTCTTATTCTTAAAAGTATATAGTACGTTTTGGATACCAGTAATGAGTTTCCAGGTCTTTGGATTACATATTATATACAGACTCTAATCAAAACTCCAGCAACAAAGGTAGCAACTGCACATGCAGAGTCCCATACCAGTTCACATTTAAGGGTAATGTTCTTCAAGAAGAATGAAGACATGCAGCTGAGAATCAAGCAAGAATTTAAGTGCCACAATATAGCAGTAACTTCTACTTAGAGATTCCATCTTGAATCTGCAACAACTCTTGGACCTGTTACCAACATGTGACAACCTGTCTCTTGCTGCATAGTTACAGCAGTTTTAATCATAGTATACACCTACCAAACCCGATTTTTGTCTATCTTTGACAGCATAAAAATTCAGTACCTGTTTTTCCTACAAGAGGAATAAAAAGGTGGCTTTACATTCTGGAGCAATGAATGCTAATCCATGTATAAGCATCCTTAGGCATGACTGGCCACCTTAAGCCTGTGACTTCCTTTTTCCTCTCTTCAGCCCCTTCAAGCAAGGCAAAAGAGAACAATGTTAACCTTTATAAGTAAAGAAAGATGAAAACGTGTGGGAGAGCAAGTGAGCAGAGGCTAGGGATATGATTATAGAATCATAGAATGTTTTGGGTTGGAAGGGACCCCTAGAGGTCATCTAGTCCAACCCCCCAGCACTGAGCAGGGACACCGCTAACTAGATCAGGCTGCTCAGAGCCCCGTCCAACCTGGTCTTGAATGTTTCCAGGAACAGGGCAGACACTGCCTCTCCGGACAACCTGTTCCAGTGTTTCAACACCCTCATTGTAAAGAATTTCTTCCTTATATCCAGTCTAAACCTACCCTGGTTTAGTTTAAAACCATTACCCCTTGTCCTGTCACAGCTGGCCCTACTAAAAGGGTTTTCCCCAGCTTTCCTATAGGCCCCCCTCTAAGTACTGAAAGGCCACAATCAGGTCTCCCCGCAGCCTTCTCTTCTCCAGGCTGAAGAAGACAACGCTCTCAGCCTGTCCTCATAGGAAAGGTGCTCCAGCCCTCGGATCATTTTTGCAGCCCTTCTCTGGACCCGCTCCAACAGGTCCATGTCCTTCTTGTGCTGAGGGCTCCAGAGCTGGATGCAGTGCTCCGGGTGAGGCCTCACCAGAGCAGAGTAGAGGGGCAGAATCACCTCCCTCAACCTGCTGGCCATGCTTCTCCCGATGCAGCCCAGGGTACGGTTGGCCTTCTGGGATGCCAGCGCACATTGTAACAGGTCATGTCCAGCTTTTCATCCACCAGCACCCCCAAGTCCCTCTCGGCAGGGCTGCTCTCAATCCTTTCTTCCCCCCGCCCGT